CCCTCCTCCCGCCTCTTCGGCTGGCGGGGCCACACCCAGCAAGGCCCCTCCCGTCCCCAGCAGCACGAGAAGCGGCCCCCTCGGGGCCTCGCGCATGGGCGGCCGGGCCCGGAGAGCCGCAGCACCCGGGGGAAGACTGGCCGGGGGAGCAGGCACCGCCTTGCTGTGAGGCAGGGCAGGGCAGGGCAGGGCAGCGGGGCTGGCTGGGAGCGGTGCTGCTCAGCAGCCGCAGCCAGCACCGCCCCCGGCCAGGGAGGGGTCCAGCCCCTGCGAGGGACCCGGCCGCGCCACGCTGACCCAGTGCGTGTGGGAAACTTGTCCCTTCCCTAACCCTTCAGTAGCCATTAGGAAGCTGCTGAGGGGCTGGGGGAGGGACAAGGGGTGGGAACGAAAGTAAACCGTGTTTACTTTCGTTTCCTGTCGCAGCACCACGGGCCGCAGAACATGCCTTGGTGGGCTGCATGGCGGCCCGCCGGCTGTATGTTGGACAAGCCTGTGCTAGTGGGACAGGCTCATGACTGAAATCACTTCTTTTATCAGTGTCAGTGTAGTGATATTGCAAACTTTGCCCCACTGCCCTTACAATTCCTTATGTGTGATCCTTCTAGAAGGACCAAAGGTCAAGCTGTTAGCTCCCTCATTCTGACAGCTACCCATGGCAGAACGCACAGAATCATGTTTAGAACATGGTTGCTCCCAACCTAATTGCAGAATGATGCCATTTTTCAGCAAAGACAAACCCTAAAACAAAGCGAAGAGAAACCCACGGGAAACACAGTTAAGGAACTCAGTTTGATTCTGTCTACAAGATGTTGTAAAATCAGCAATCAACCATATCGTAACGATTTCCTTGCAATACAGTAGTTTATCCATTCCAGGGGCGGGCACTTATTTCGGGCGGAGGGCTGCTTACTGAGTATTGGCAAGCCACTGAGGGCCGCACAACAGGCAGCCAGGGGCAAATAAATATGAATTTTCTAAATTTTTTAGGGGCTCCGCAGGCAGGATAGAATGGCCTGGCAGGCCGCATCCAGGCCACAGGCCACATTTTGCCCACCCCTGATCTGTTCAATCTTTTTAACTTTGCTGCAAATAGTCATTACTTCAACTTGTTCTTTTTATGTGGACATTTATCCACCAGAAAATGAACTGAGCGCGCTAACTTTGTCAGACCACTTCTAATGACTGCATGTGCTGTACTTTCTTTCAAAACAGACTGCCCTATACCTGCTGAAGTGTAGTAACCAAAGATACAATGGACTGAAGAACAAAGCCTATGGCACAATCTAGCAAATTGCTAGAGCTATTTTAGGTGAATTACCTGGAGAATAAGAGTATTATTTGTCCTTTTGGGTTTAAAGGAAATGAACAGCTAGCTTGCCTCTCCAGCAAGCATACTCAATGATATTTCATCATAAATAGCGGTGTGTTTTTTAAATACTGAAAGTGGGAAAGGCACCAGAGTCGCATGGCTTTATACTGGTTGCCAGAATGCTGTAGTATGCCTGCCATGCCTACTCCAGGCAGAAGGCAGGGCAGAGAGAAACCTTATAGACTAATTCAGAGATGCATTCGCTTTTGTAATCAACAGCTCACTTTATCAGATGCTACAAAAGGACTGGCAGGGAGCAGGGGTTCATCTAGAAAGTGTGCTGTAAGTACAAAGTGACACGTAGATCTAGCAGATCTACACGTCGAAGAGCTGCTCAGCACAGCTCACAGACCCTGTCATGGACCCGGAGGGACAGCCTTGCGTCTTCAGCTCCCTCTGTGCAGAAATGAAGTCTATTTCCTACCTATGGGGACTTTTTACCATCTTGTACCGTCTGTGCTGTTCCCAGAGCCTAATGAAGGGACTTTGATCCTGAAAGCTTGCAGAAAAAGGACAATTTTCTTGCGATTTCCCACTTGGTCTAATAAAAAGTCTCATTTTGGAACCAAGAGATCTAGTTTTTGTGTACGTCTTACGTACAACATTATTTTGTTACAACTTATTACCCCTACGCTACAGAGGTCATTTCAGGCCATTAGCTGTTCTTACCTATAACGTAGCGTCTGGATTGCCACAAACATGTTTCCTGGTGGATCTCAAATCTTTTCAGTCCTGGCAGGATGTGATTTTGCTCAATACTGGAAATTGCGGTTCTATTATCATGACTTTTTTTTTTTAATTTAATTTAGGCACAGTAGTTTTGGGGCGCTGTGGTCCGAGATCCCCTTTTCCCTTTGGACGGAAGGTCCCCACAGCCCAAAGCCCCCCTGCCCCGCCCCGGCTGAGGACGGGATGCTTCACATTGCTGCCCTGGGCCCCGGGAACCGCCCCGGGCCCGGGCCCAGCTCCCTGGCACTGAGGCTTGGACACGGGGCGGGGGAAGAAGCCGGGCGGTGCAGACCCGGGGGCGAGGGGGGGTCCCGGACACTTCTGAGGAAAAAACCGGGGAGGGGGTGGGGAGGACGCGTCACCTCCCCCAGCGCCTCGGGCGTGGCCAAGATCCCCGCCTCCAGTCCTCCGAGGGGCAGCGAGAGGGGAAACCAGAGCGGCCACGGGGCGTGCCAGCC